AAATTATTCATGCTGATTTTCATAGTGGTAATATTTTTCAAAAAGATAAAAGGTATTCATATATTGCAGACTTAGGATTATCATGCACAGCTAGTCAAGCATCATCATCAAACAAAAATGATATATGTGGAGTATTACCATATATTGCACCAGAAGTTTTAAAAAAGAAACCATATACAATGGCATCAGATGTATACAGTTTTGGAGTTCCGATGTCTGTAATATCAACTGGCCAACAACCATTTAATAATTTGGCACATGATGAATATCTTGCAATGAAAATCTGTAGAGGTGCAAGACCTGGATTCTCAAACAATACTCCAAAATTCTATATTGAACTAGCATTCAAATGCATGTATGCTAATCCAGATAAACGTCCAACTGCTGAAGAAATTTATGAGATTATTAGAATTTGGCATAATTCAGTACTGAGTTATAAAGATAAATCAATTACAAAAGAGTTTGAGAAAATGGATCAAATAGAATTTGATCCTTCAACAATTACCACAGTAATTCATCCAAATGCAGTTTATACTAGCAGGTTCTTAAAATTTACAAACCTTCCCCAACCTGTGAATTCCAATAAAGTAACAATTATTGGTAATAATATTGGTAATTATTAATATTCAATCATTGACTATTTTCATTTTCATTTTCATTTTTATTAATTTTAAAATTAACTCTTGTGATAAATATTTTGTAGATTCTAAACAAATTGATTTAGCTATACCAGATGACTTACCTGAATAAGTTAAATCCTGTCACTTTATTACATATCAATTATTTATTATTTATTTTTATTTTTATCTAGCTACTATTAAATATCTTCAGAATAATAAACAGATTGATTTAGCTATACCAGATGACTTACCTGAATAAAGTTAAACCCTGTCACTTTATTACATTTTAAATTATCTATTATTTATTTTTATTTATCTGGCTACTACAGTTGTGATATTAAATATTTTGAGATAACTTCTTTTGACTTTTTTTTATTTTGAAATTTGGATGTCAAATATGCACACTAAATAAAAATAATGATTTTTGACAAAAAAGCAAATGTATTTTTAATAATAATTGTTACCATTATTGTTTGTTTCTTACTTTTTCAAATCAATGTTTTCATTTTTTTATAGTATGGTGCCAATCATCTAAAGACATCAAAATTTTTGGCTAGACTTTAAAATGTATAAGCTCAATGACCATGCAAGATAAAAAAAAACTCTGTATATCACACACTTGCAATACAAATCTCTCAACCTGTATTTTTAAAATTATGTGATATTAAAATAAATATGTTAAAACCTTACAAAACATCTAAGAACAAATGGCTTAGAAGATGGTAATATGAAAAAATTCCTGAACTTAAGTCATGGCAATTTCATAAAATTCATTAAACCATGATTAGTAATTTTAGTATTATGCAATTTCTTGTGCATATATTCCAGAACCTAAAAAGCATTGTTCTCATTTTAAATTTTCAGAATTTTTTGGTCTGTCATAAAATTATTTATGATTCAAATGTTCTAAACTTATACAAATTATTATAGTTTATTATTGCTTCTTCAGTGTTTTGCAAAATCATGATTTTATAAAAAATAATATTAAATTTCAAGTTGAGCCAAGCATAAACTCAACTCGGCTTGGCTCTTTTGGAGCTTTAATTACAATTTAATAGTATCTGTTCTGTTTGGAGCCATGCACTTGTTAAAAAGCAAATTCTTATTCATGACATAATACAGTAGTAACGTTTTTACATTTACCTTTTTTACCTTTTTTATTAAATCTTAATTTAATATGAAAATACATTTCTTCACTACATAATATATAGAAGTATATAAATTTACCCTATACATCATCCTTGTCCTTCCCTATTACATATCATATTAATATATGTGAAATATTATAAAGAAGTTTTGTAAATAAATATGTTTGTATTTTTTTTAAATTCTGTATAAATAAACCATTTTCATAATAATAATTTTTTTAAATTTTTAATCTCATTCAATAAAGTTTGCATTTGAATCAACATCTGTTCATTATTATGATTTAATTTGTTTTCAAGTTTTTTTTCAATTTCTTCAAGATCATTTTTATCAATTTTGCCTCCACCTGGTTTGGGTATATCTGCTGTTTTTCTAAGTTCTTCAGAGATAAATTTCAGAAATCCTGGATCTCCTTTGCCATCATCAATTTCTCTAGTTTTTTTCAAATATCTTCAATTGGTGTGTAATAAGATCTATCAAATTATCAAATTAAAGTATTTATGATTATTTATAATATCAAAAAAAAATAAAGATAAATAAAATTTGTATATTTACAAAATATCAGGAAACCATTCTTTCCAATGATGTTGATTAGGAAGTAAATAAAATAATTCAATATCTGTTATGATTTTTGCCTTTTGCGCCAAAAATGCTTCATTTATATTATAATTTTCAATTTGATTGTTAAGAAGACCAATGAATAAATTCATCAAATATACTACAACAATAAATGAAAATAAAATAAATAATATTGCCAGATATGGTTCATTTTGTAATTGCCAAGATCCAAATGCCCCACTATTGCCTATTAAAAAAAATCAATTATATTAAATATTTTAGCAAACATATTGAATATTTTAAATCATATTAATATAAAATTTTACCTGTGAGAAAATTATACACTTCCAGCATTGAAGAATGAAAATCTGTAAATGCATTTATTTCAAATAAAACTCTTTTAAAAAATGAATGTCATTTAAATTGACTACCACTTGTGTGATTGATTCAATCATTAACACTAAGGAACAAACAATTTCAGAATTATTGAAATTAATGCCATTCCAAAGGTGAAATAAAATAATAATTTTTTAAATATAATTAATTATATAGATAAAAAATAAACATGGCTTAGCTTATTTAGTCCTTTCCTCATATGTGAATTCCTTTGTCCTCACATCCATCACAATGATTATTCAATACATTTGATGCTATAATTGACAACAAACAATTGCATCACCCAAGTAATAAATAATACCAAGACCATGCATGAACTAAACTTTAAGGAACATGATTTCAAAACAATAATGCATGTCTATGAAATTCACAAAAATAAATGAATGAATAAGAATCAATGCATAGTTTCTTAAAATGAAGAATAAATCTGATATTAATCACAGGTGTCAGATTTAATAAAAATTTCCTGTCACCAAAATGGAATAAGGTGTTCTCACACCTCCTCATGACTGTAGAATTTTTTCCACAGTTTAGGTAACCCACATGTTGGAAGGCTTGGGACAAAACTTCCACATCTTCCACTCAGACCAGGCTGGCTGTTTCCATATGAGCATTGATCATTGACAAGAGTTGGTATCTGTGTGATATACCTCTCTAGAATAAAGTTGGTATATGCAACTTGGGAGGTTGCAACCTGGGTTGTTGCTGTTTTGGTTTTTCCCTGAATTTTGAGTTTTGAGTCCTGGGTTGCTGTCTTGTCAGTGGCATGTCTGCTCACCAATAACCCTACCTCATTTAAAAATTAACAAATTCAGTTGGTCAAATAAAAATTAAAGAAACAGAAAATGATTAATTTATAACATACCAAACAAAATCTGAAACATTTTATAGCTTTTTTCTTGTTGACCATATTGCTGACAAAGATATATATAATCATGCAATAAAGGACAGGGGACTGATTGGGCAAAACCTCATTCAGTCCCCACCCAAAATTATAATTTGGTTAATATCAAAGAAACAGAGAATTTAGGAAAATAATTATACATAACAAACACTATTTTACAACTTTCCTCTTAACATCAGAGCCCAAATGCAATTTCAGGGTCACCATAACATCCTGTGCTTGAAACGAGTTGCAGATCTTCTTAATATTCCTCCAGAGTTGCGATACTTTGGTCACAGAGCCATCCTTAGAGGTAGGATCGTTGCAGACAATTTCTCAGCCTTCTCTGGTTTGGTGAAAGATTAGTGAAAAGCGTCCTTGACGGTTGATGCAGTCTCGGTAAACTCCAGGGCCATGCGGTCCCTCCCTGGAATTTTAGTTGCATCGTTGTATCTCAGAGAAATCTTGGTCAGATTAGCCTTGTGTACACGAGGAACATGTGAGAATGACTGTAAGTGTTCAAGGTAGTGTGCATGCTTCAACACTTGTCAAATTTCCGATAATCAAACATCGCATATCGCCTTGACATTTTCGTATTATTTAATGTTAATAAAATAATGTTGATTACGAAAATCCAAATACCAATCGTTTGTTTACCATCTTGAGATTTTTATAATTACCCAGAAAGCTCTGCTCCGCGTTTTGATTTAAAAGACATATCAACGCAAATTAAAAAAAAGTTACCTCTGATTAGTTATTAACACGTCTCTTTTTAGAACCATGCCAAACAACATCACTCACGTTTTGTCATCTGTCAAAAAATAAATTGTTTTCCAAAAAAAAAACAATCGCGTCAAAAAAAAAAAAATAGGGGTACATAAATAATTAATAGCAGTCAGTCAAGATTTCACGCGATCGACATAGCTATGTAAAATTTTTGTGAAACATGTCAATTTTTACTATTAAAATCGAAAGAACTTTTTACTTGTTACTATTACTAGTACATCCACATGTAATTTTTAACAAGGAACGTGATATTTTGTACGCACATTCTTTGAGATTTTATTTTATTCCTTGTAAAATTTTAAATATGGTTTCATAAAGAAACAATAAATAATTAGCAGTTAGAAGTTATACATTTTTAAATAAAATATTAATAAAATGAAGTAGTTGGTTATATAATTTTTTAATATTGTAATTATATAAAAAAAATTTTTCTTTCAAAAATAAAATTTACTCCGTGGCGCAGTAAGAAAAATTAAAAATTGGAAGAAAATAAAGAAAAAAATAAGGAAGAATCTGGCCCGAAGGCCACCGAAATCGAAATTACTACAGAACCAAACCAAACAATTAACATTAACAAAAGGAAGAAAGGAAAAAACACAAACTATAACAACATGTTACAAAAGTCCATTCACAATAATAAATCAAAAAATAAAAGACTCAAACATTTCAATGAAAAGGAAACTCATGAAGAAAAAATAAATTCAAGCGAAGACGAAACAAGAATGAATCTTACAACCCACAAAGGGAGGACAGGAGAAGACCCATTCTGGGGTACATCCAACCCTAACTCAAAAAACCAATTATCCAACATTTCCAAAAACTCTAACAATCAATTAATATCCAAGATCTATCAAGATAATCAAGAAAATCAAACAGATACAAACAAAAATTCTGAAGATACTAACATAGATAATACAATATCATCAGAAATTACTGATGATTTAATGTCAGATAATGAAACAATTGAAGACAATACCTCTATCATGGACACAAATCAAGAAGAAACAGATCAAAATTTAGTAATAATTCAACTGGATCTTTTCAACAAATTAATTGAAAATGGAGAAGGTTTTATTGAACTAATAAGAATAGGTAGGAAAAATATAAAAGTAGAATCTACAGTAACAAAAGGTCAGATCCCCCCTGCTACACTATACATGTTAGAATGTAATGATACATATTTTTTCAAATCATTCACAAATTACAAAAATGGAATTAAACCTGAACACCAAAAAGAATTCGAAAAAATCTTTTTCAACTCAACAAATGTCTACAAAAATACCCATGAACGAACCAAACTAACTAAGAAAGAAAAAGATAATGTTTTTAAAATGATCAAAATCAAATTAGGTTGGGCTTATTTCAATCAAATTGAATGGAAAAACATCAACCATTCAGATATCATCAGAAAACTACAATATATTGCTGGCTTTGTAGGTAAAAAACAAAATTTTGAATACAACAAAATAAATCTTGCCCTAAGAGAAATCCTGAAAGAAGAATTACCAGATCTACCATCACATCCAAACTTAATAGATAAATCAATCAAAGTCAAAATTCCATACGAACTACCACTAATATACCACCATTTAGCAAACCAAACAAAAAGAGCTTTAAGCAACTATTTCAACATCAAAACCAACAAACTTCCTGATTCATACATAAAGGTATTACCAATACTGCCAAATGATCCTGGAGAATTATCAGTAGAATGGAAAAAGATTTTCCCAATCAAAAAATATTCCATGTTAAAGGAATTAAGGAATGTAAGAGAAAAATTAAGAGTAGAATATTTTTTCTCAGGCAAATTACCAGACACATATTTTAATTTTCCAAAACCAAGAGAACTTCTACCATTTTCTCCAAAAGGTCTACCAAATTACTTAGCACAATACTTACCTTTCAACTCAAATAGAACAGAAAAAACTCTTCGTGAGATAGTACAAGAATTAAGGGAATATTATATATTCAAAAATTACCAAACAATTATTTTACTCCTAAACCAAGACTACCTAACTCACCAGATAACACAATTTTCAATTATATATTCCCAATCACTGAACAAAATACTGCCAATGAATTCATTAAAGAAGCAAGAAGAAAATATGAGATCATATTCCCTATTAATAAAAAATGGATAAATGTTCCAAAAACAAACACTAAAAATAAACCTTTTCTTCCTAAAAACATCAATGAACTGGATGCACAATTCATTGTAGATGAAGAAATAATTCTGCCTATTACAATCAAAACTAATATAAGAAATATAGTAATAAAACTAGGTAAAAAATATTTCTTCAAAAGAATTCCTGATGAGTGGATATCAATAGAAAAAACAAATGATAATATTGATACACCTGCTTTAGAAATATCAAACATAGAAAGAAAACAACTACCTGATCTAACAACAACAACACAAGAACTTGACAAATACAATATAAAAATTACAATACCCATCATAGATGACAAAAAAATCCACCAAACAACTCAAACCCTTAAAAAACTTTACATTTTCAAATATCTCCCAGATACATTTATTAATCTTCCACCAATCCCAAATCCAGGTTGGGACTCAATTATATTTTAATGAGTACTCAACAAAACCTGCAACAACCACCCCCAAACAAAAACCACCAAATTTATAAACAAACCAAATATAAACAACCAACATCATTACATGCACCAACTGCAATCTACAATAACCAACCAAATATATATCAAGAAGATATAAACAAAATCAATATCACAACAAACAATGTCAATGGCCTAAAAGATCAATTAAAGATACTTGAGATTATTAATGAAATACAAGAAAAAAATATAAATATATATGGTATTAGTGAATCTCATCTAAATGAAAATGAAATAAACCAAATAAAACACACACTAAAAAATTACAACCTTATTAGTTTTTGGACACCCTCAGATGGCAGGAAAGGAGGCACTGGCATTATAGTAAATGGAAATGTATCTAAACACACCATCAAAACAAAATCAATAGATAACTACGTCACAAGCATTGACGTTTTTTACAAACAAAATAAATTAAATATAATGCAAATATACATACCAACACTTGAAAAACAAACTGCAAGAAAGGAATTAATAACAAAAATAATCAAAACACTCAATGAAAACAAAACAAAAAAAAGAAACACAATTGTGATGGGTGACTTTAATGCCATCATTAACCTAAACATAGATAAAACACCACCATCAAAAAAGAATAACAACAAGTCAAACCTCATTGAATTCCTAATTGACAAAAATTACATAGACACCCAAAAATACGCATTTGACAAACACACTGAACACACATGGCAAAGAAATGCTAGCAGCAGTAGAATTGACTTTATTTGGGTAGATAACAATATATTTGATAAAATAACAAAAATTAATAAACCTTATATTCCCAACTACAAAACAGATCATAAATGCCTAAGCATAGATTTAAACATAAAAATTAAAAATTGGAAGACAACATCAAACATAGAAAGATATGTTTACAATTGGGAAAATACCAAACAAATTAACAATTATAAAAAGAAAACCAACAAACTTGCTGCAAAAATCAATGAAAATAAATCCATACTAAACAATATAGAATCTCTGTGGTCCCTGATAAAATACAACTTGATCAAAGCAAGTGACAAAAAAATCACAAAAACAAAAATAACAAATTATAAAAACACTAATAACCAAATTAAAAATATTCAAAAACATCAAAAATCTTAAAAAACTTCTCACAATCCAAGATATAGATGCACTTAAAATTAATTTCAACAAATATAATGAATCATTCCCCCAACAAAATGAAATTTTAAAAAACAAAATAATAAATACAAATAACAACAAAGAAATTAAAAACCTTATTAAAAATCACATTACAAACCTACAAACCATAATCAAAGAGGAATTGAATAAAGAAAGAATGACACAAATTAAAAAATCTATTGAATCAAGAAATGAAGATTTTTTCACTAACCAAAAAAAATTCTACAACAATATCCTTAACAAAAACAAAAACCATATCCACCGATTTGCGCAACCTAATGGGGTACAAAATTTTGAAACAACACAAATTTAGGGTTCCTGTCGATCGTCACCAAATGTAAAATTATTATTAATAATTAACGCAAAAGTTCACAGTAGGCAAGAGAAGTGAATGATAAAAATTATTAAAAATATCTTTTTACATTTTGGGAAAAGATCCTATAAATTTTAATTAAGACTCTAACCTATTTTATTCTATAATGAACTTTTATTAATTAAATTAATGAGTTAAGGCATTCACATCCAGTCCTGTTGAAAAAAAAACCATATGCAAATAAGTAAATATTTTAGAAAAACCTTGAAAGATGGTGGAAAGGGGAGAAAAAAGGCTGTAATTGAGATTTTAGAACATGAGAATCGCCTCCTATATTATAATTATAACAATATACCAACAATTAGTAAAAATATTAGAAAAATTAAAATAAATTAAAATAAACATAATAAACATAGAAATTGGTTATATAAATATCTTTTATATTAAGTATAATTATTATTATAATTATTAATGTTTTTTAATTTATTAAATATAAATAATAAATATAATTATAAATAAATAAAAAAAAATTAATGACTTCTTTTATATGTTGAAAAACTAATAATTATATTTGAAGAAGAGATACTACTACCATTTGCTTCTACCAACTCAACTTCTTTCCATACTACTTTTATTTGATTATTAATAATATCCACATAAGCATATTGATTGTTGTCATAATATCTAATTGCCCAATTTTCGCTACCAAGTAAATCCCTTAATTTCTCATCACCTTCTTCTCCCATGAATGAACATAGATAAAAATGCCTAGCAGGTGAATACCTTTGAATTTCATCTTTAAAAATATTTAGGAACATGCCTTCACTACATGGAATAGTTAATGATTTTTTCCCTAAACTTTTATGATTTAAGGTCAATTTTTTTTTAATATTAAAAATTAATGATTTTTTAAATTCTAATAAAGAATATTCAGAAGTAGAGAGAATATTTAAAGGATATTCATGGTAATTGGAATGTTTTCGTGTTTCATGTTGATTTGGACTATCTTTTGAATTATATGTATTGTTGCATATAATACAAATATGTGAATTATTATTTCCAGTGTTTCCTTCACTCATAGTTACTATATAAATTAAAGAAAAGTAAAAAAAATTATTATAAAAAAGCTTTAACAGATTACAAAACCAGATTTTGTTCAACTAATTACTTGCGATCCTGAATTCAGTATATAAAAAAAAAGTGATTGGTTTACTATGAAAAGTGATTGGTTTGGTATTAGAGAATTTCTGAAAAGAACGTTAAAGGGGTACAAAATATACAAAATAGGGGGAATATTTATTCAAAACAGTCAAAATATTACAAAAAATATCCCCAAAATTTCCAAAATTTACCCTCAAAATGATCAAAAATCGTGTAACTTTGCAGAAATTGGTGGATATGCAATATTAAAATTGACAGAATAATTGAAAACGACATGATTATTACCAACCCAAATATGATCAAAGAAAAAATAGAAAATCACTTCTACAACTATTTTAAACATAATGAATTACCAGATCTTACAGAAGACAATGAATTCTGGAAAATCCTTCAACCAAAAAATACACACAAAGAAATACTTCTAAATATTCTAGACAAACCCAAAGAAGAAGAATGGATCCCCATCATTAAACACTTGCCCTCAAAAAAAGCTCACGGACCTTCTAACATCTCGTATGAACATATAAAACAGGCTCATTACAACATGCAGAAATTAATTATACACTTAATATCATTGTGCTATAAAAGCAACAATATTCCAGAAGAATGGAAAACATCACATATCTACCCAATCCCAAAAAGAGAAGATTGGGGATACAATATTAATATTATAAGACCAATTGCTATCATTGAACCAGTCAAAAAACTCATGACAAAAATCTTAACAATAAGAATGGAAAAATTAATCAGAGAACACAATATTTTAAAAGGCTATAACTTTGCTGCTCAAAAACACTCATCACCACAAATCCCAATACAAATAATAAATAACACTATTGAACATTGTCGGGATACCAAATCAGAAACATGGATAATGTTCCAAGACATGTCAAGGGCATTTGATAATGTAAACATTGAAAGACTGATCATTACTCTCAAAAGAATAGACCTCCCAGAAAATTTCATAAATTTGATAAAAAATATTCATACTGGAAGGAAAGCAAAAATCATTACTCCATTTGGCCTAACTAACCCTATATCAATTGAATCAGGAATTGAACAAGGAGAAACATATTCACCTTTATTGTGGAAATTATATTATGATCCTATATTACAATACATACAAGAAAATGCACACAATAACTTACTAACAATCCATAGCAAGTCACCATCAGAGACTTTACATCAGAAATCACAAACAACAATCACTATCCCCCCACTTGCATTTGTTGATGATGTATCATGGATTGCCAATTCCAGAAGTGCCATGAAAAATATATTGGAAATTACTCAACGGTATAATATACTAAACAACATCCAAGTCAATTTAAAAAAATCAGATTTATTAATTCTAAATTCAACACATGATGATCTTACCCTTAACAATGATCAAACAATTTCTGTTACAAAAAATAAACCCATCAGGTACCTGGGAGTTTACTATGACAATAAAGGCAGCAGTAAACCCACTTTTGAAAAAAATAATAGAAAAAATCAAAATATTTACCAACATCATAAAATATAAAAAATTAACATACAAACAGTTATTTAAAGTATATAATACAACACTCAAATCATCAATTGAATACCTAATACAAATTATTACACTCAACAACAAAGAGATATCAACAATAAATAACCTTATAAGGAAAATTTTCAAATCAAAACTCAACTTCCCAAAAAACATACACAATGACACTATACAAAATTTTATGATTGAAAATGTACAACCAATTGAAGATATATTCCTCATAACCAATACAAGAATCTTGTATGACATTATACACTCTAACTTCTCTTTGCTCAAATCTTTAATAGACATACGTATAAAAGATTGTAAAAGAACTGGTTGGTTTCATAACATTGACATTGAAACATTCAGAAAATTCTCCAAAGACACCAAAAATAACATGATTGCATCCATCATAACAGAATTAGCTAAAAATAACCTAATCATTAAGAACCCAAATAACTCATATCTAGGAACTGAA